GTCAGAGCTCGAAAATCGAATGAGCGGCCGATCATCCAACTTGGGCTGCTGCCTCACTTCTGCTCCCGCTTCACACTCCCTCCTGAATGGACCTCCACCCATTTGCCACCGCTCCCCATCCCCCCCACCCCCTTTTCCTCCAATTGCATCCGTCCCTGGAACAATACCCTCGCTATCCAGTCAGGCACGTCCTGTTTTGATTGGGGCGGTGGACAAAGGAGGTCTAAACCTTTGGCTCTCAGCCGCGTCTGAATTCCCGTATCTGGACGCACTCTAACAACTGGGGGTGGCTGCGCCTCATCCACCCCGACACTTGCAGGTGCTCAACCCTAATACTCCCAAGAGTGTCCGGGTAGCGTCCCTCAGAAAGCTCATTTCCGAATTCGCACACACCTCGCACCCTCATAGGAAGTCGCTGCATCCATTCGCTACTCTCCGCATTCAAGGCACTGGATTCGCCACTCGACACACATCACATACCTTTACCATGGCGGATCAATTCTCCCGCAACGTCAACACCTCCTTCCAAGGTCTGGTGACCACCACGGCCATCTTTGGCATAGTGGGCTCAATATGTCTCATCGGCTTCGAAACGATGAGACAATTGAGGAGGTTACCTAGGACGAAGTTTGTACCCTTCTGGAAGAGCGCGAGGAAGGAGAGGGAAGGAGGTGGGGGTGTGGAGGAAAGAGGGGTGGGGAGTAGGAGCAGGATGAATGCTGAGGATTGGGAAATGGGCCATTTGTACATGGCTAGGACCTTTCATGCCACGTGAGTTGCTGCACGATGCCGTTGTTGCCTTCACCATGAGGGCATGATGTAGGGCGCAAGGCGGTGTTGTGTTCAGATAGTCTGCAACATGACGGGTACTACACCGCATACAAGCGCTCCCCATGCAGTCAGCTCACACTTTGACTGGTCTGGCCCGCGCCGCAGCACGCCGTCGCCGCCACTTGCGAGATGGCCTCTCAGCTGGAGCTATCAAGCTCTCAAGTTCACAGATTGGTTCTACGCCAAGCATACTGGAATGGACACGGTAGTCTACGTCCGCTTCCTTCGAGCTTGCAGTGAGTACGCAAAGAGTGCTTCTGCCCGGGCACTACTGCACCGCGTGCTGACGTCCTGACGATCGAAACTTCAGCCTGGTGGCTGCTCTTGCAGACCCTGACCACCGCTCCCATCCTCCTGGCCATCCACTTCAACTTCTCGAAAGGCATTCCTTTGACGGACATGTCAAGAGCTTCCTTATCATGGCTGGTCACTACCCCGAAGAGCGTGGACGAGTGTCAGAGCAACGCCGCTACTTGCGAACGCGAACCGAACCCACAAGGAAGGAAGCTGCTCTGGATTCATCTGTGCCTGCTGTGGTGGATCTCGTGCACATGGTGCTATGCGCTTTGGTGGATCGGAAGGGGCAGTCTTCAGATTCGACGACGTCTCATCGATGACCTCCGCAAGCGGAAAACGGAAGAGAAGGAGAAAGCAGTAGCGGAAGACAGCTCGCGCAATCAGCATGTTCAAGAGGACATTCAGCATCCATCCCAGCTGCGGAGCGCAGCGGATCAGGCGCACGAGCCATCGGTATTCAAGAACGTTGCTGAAGCTCAGGGACTCACACCCCCGGCAGATGACGGCGAAGGCTGGCGACAACGAACACTGATGGTGATGAATCTGCCCGTGACGATGCGCGACGAGGCTTCCGTTCGGCGATACTTCGAGGAATTCCTGCGCCCAGACGACGGAAGTATTCTGAGCATCGAGGATCAGCTTGAACGCACTTCCGAAAACAGGAGAGAGGCGAACACTTCGGAAGCGTCCGACGCGCCCCTGAATGGGGAGCTGGTAGAGGGTGAAGGGACCACGCGCAGTATCCCGCAATCGGCGAGCGATTTCTACGCTTCTCGTAACATGCGCTCCCCGGTACAGACAGTCGTCCTGGTGCGCAAGATGAACGAGCTGTCCAGTATGTTGCAACGCAGGCAAGACATCTTGTCCCAGCTTGAGGCGGCCCACATCAAGCTTGCCCAGAACGCGATGCAGGCTGTGGGCAAGACGACGCAGAAAATTCGCAAGGATCGACGCCGAGATGAAAAGAATCGTAGGAAAGCTCCCGTAGATGCGAAGAATGATCCCTCACCGAATGCTCGTGGAGAAGATGGCCAAGATGACGGGCCCCCTGCTCTAGTCGCCGACATAGAGAAGCAAGCAGTCGGAGAGGGCAGGACAGAACAGCGACGGGCTGTGGAGCTTGCACATCGACTTGCATCCTTCTCGCCAGCCAACAAGGGTATGCACTCCCGTGTGCGAGATATGGCAGGCTTGCAGATTGAAGCTGGAGAGGGCGCGCGCGAAGAGAAGGACGGCATGCCAGAGACTGTCTGGGAAGCCCTCGCTGACGTTCCGAGAGAATTGCTTGATCCTTACCAACCCCTGACCCGCCTCAGCGCTCTTTTTCGGGGGCAGACAGTTCCCACCATCGATTATCTCCTCACCAAACTCAACTTGCTCACAGCCCTTGTGACCGAGATGCGCGCCCGACCTCCCACGAGCTACGAACCTACATCAACCGCTTTCGTCACGTTCCGCGATCCTCGGCAAGCTAGAATGGTCTGGCGCGAGCTCAAGACACAAATCGTCATCAAGGTTCGGATGGCCCCCGAAGTCAAGGATCTGGACTGGGAGAGGCTTATGCGTACCTCCTTCACCGGAGACTTGGTGCGAGGTCTCGGTGTCAACGCGTTCTTCTGGGGCTTTACCATCTTCTGGGTCATTCCAATCAACTTGTTGACCACTGGTCTCTTCAGCGTGCAAAACATCGAGCTGGTCGTTCCCGGCCTGCGTCAATTCTTCGACGCCAACCCTCACTTCAAGGGTTTCGTCACAGTCACTCTACCCACCGTCATCGTCTCGCTCATCACCATGGCAGTACCCGAGCTGATCTTCCAAATCTCGAAGCGAGCTCAGGGCTTTGTCACGTTCAGCACGCTGTACGACCAATGTCTGTGTCGATACTGGAAGTTCATCATCTGCAACGTCGTCATCTTCTTCTGCATCGGTGTTACGGCCGTTCAGACCATCCTTCAACAGGTTGACAAGACTTCGCAAGTCCTAGACACCATCGCTTTCAGCTTTCCCACCGCTGCACCCTTCTTCGTCAGTTATCTCATTCTGGGTATGGCCCTGCACACAGGCTTCGAGTTGCTTGGCTTCATGGTGCCTCTCATCCAGCACTTGGGTGCACGAAAAGCGCCGACGCCACGAGTCAGAGCTCTGAAGACGCTTCCACGCAACTTCAACAGGTACTACTGGCTCCCCTTCCACATCCTCATCATGACCATCGTCTTCATCTTTGGCGTTCTAAACCCGCTCGTCATCCCCTTCGCCCTAGTCTACATCTTCGTTGCGATGATCGTCTTCAAAAAGAATTTCGCCTTCACCTATTTCCGGCGATTCAACGAGATGCAAGGAGAGATCTACTTTGCGCGCCTCTTGCGTTTCAGTCTGGACGGCCTGACGACGGCGCAAGCTGTCATCGTCATCTTCTTCTCCGTCACCAAACAGGAGGCCGTGTACATTGGCATGACTGCCGTGCTCATCCCGCTCACGGTGGCGCTCAAGTTGCTCGCTACCCGTCTTTGGAAATCCCAATGCCGCGCTGTAGAAGATGACGAAGCGAACGCCCTTTGCGGAATCGGCGAGAATACGCCTCTCACGCAGAGCGGACAAAGGGACTGGACCGATCTGGAGCTCAGAGGCTCGCAAGACACTGCGTCACGCATGCCGCTGGATGCTAGAGCTAGCGGCAGATTCCCAGCGGTTCACGAAGCGCCCGCCACAGGCTCCGCTCTCTTCCGCTACTGGGCGCGCATACACGACTCATTCAACGCCAACGGACGAGACAGGCCCAGCTACATTGCTAGCATGCATGCAAAGGGCGAGCGATTGGACAAGCCCGTTTTGTCAGGTGCCAAACTGGTCGCCAAGGCTCCCAAGCATGCGTTCAAGTCAGCTGCGGATGCCGCGAGGCACCGCGGACAGTCAGCGAAGGCTCAGATCGAATACGCTAGGCAAAAGCCAGGAAGTGAATTAGACCTGGCGGAAAGAGCGGACCCTGCTCAGATTCTGGCTGAGCACAAGGAGGCGGCTCGTCAGCAACGACGCAAGAACAATGTATCGGGGGCTTCGTTGCGTCGTGGTAGGAGCCACAGGAGCGCGCTCAGCGACGAAGCTCCGTTCTTGTCGGGCATTGACGCCGTGAACAATCATGCGCCTGTGGTGATGGACGACGAAGAGCAAGACTTCGGAGATGGAGAGCCGGAGCTCGAGCCCTACAGAACGACGCCTCATCGAGGCCGTTCGCAACGCCGCAGACCTTCCGGTTCATACAGCACGAGCATCATCAAAGCCAACCCTGCCCCCGGAGTCTTTACAGACAGCCCCAGCGGTCGAGGCGAATTTGGCGCTCTGCATCCCAAGACCAGCAGCAGCTCTGGCGGAAACGATTTCGCACCTGTCGTGAATGAAAAGGCAGGCGTGGGGCGCTTTCAGCGCATGCTAACTGCTTTGGGAGACTCTGGCTTCACCTCCGATGGCACCGGCCAAGCCCAGAAGGAAGATGAGCTTTCGGACGATGAGGAACAAGAGGCCGATGATGGCGCTCTTGTGCGTCCCCACGGCAAGTTGCGCTGGGACGACACGCCCAACAATCTGGCACGGTACAACAACCCATTCTACTCTCGTGAGCTCGATCCGTTCCTTTGGCTTCCTCGCGATCCTCTGGCTCCTGTGGACCTCTTCGACACTATCGAGTGGTACGGTGCTGCTCTTGTCAGCTCTCAAGGAGGTCCGGGACGTGTGGGCGAGTGGGACGAAGATGAAGAGGAGGATGACCTGCCGGTGCTTGACAAGGACGGCGCCGTCATTTCGCCTAGCGGCTATGGTGATGTTGGTGTGGCTGAGCTTCACGGCGACGAAGAGATCTTCGTGACTGGCACGCTCGCGCATCGCTTGCAAGAGGCCGAAGATGCCGAGGTGGTTGTCGATGTTGCTGCGAGCTTGCCGCGCAACGTCATGGACGAGTATCAGCGCGCCATTCGCCGAGGCACAGCTTCAGAAGTTGACGGAGGTGACGATTCTGCTAGCCAGCGCAGCGGATCGCCCTTGACTGGTCGTAGGGCTTCCATGGCCCTGAGCGGTGTCAGCATCCCGATCAGATCACCATCTCTGCGAGCAAGGCAAGCACAGCATCTCGATGCAAACTACGAAGGGCAAGATCCCGCTCGACTCAGTCCGAACATCCAACGAAAAGTCACTGGCAATACGATCCCTCCACTGGACCTCGAGCCGCCTGCTATACCTTCGCCGACAGCCATCGGCAAGATGCCCACCACCACCTCGCCTTTGGACATTCAGGACGACGCTCAACAACAGAAGCAGGCCGCTGCTGAGGGCGCTGGGGTCGCTCATCCCACCGTCTCCTTTGACCCGACGGCAGCCGCACCTTCTCATGCAAGACACGGCACCTTGGGCCTTGGAGCTGCTGAAGGCGCTCGTCATGGGACGCATCCTCGCCGTGCAAGTATGCGCAGCGGCGCCGACAGCGTCCTGTCTGCGGGCTCGCGTACCGTCACGATGCAACAGGCCTTGCGTGCCGAAATTCTCGAGGAAGAGCGTCGTCGCGTGCTTGGAGAGAAATTGTTGGCGCGCAAGAAGCGTACTTCCAAGCGCAAGGGAACCGCAGACACTGCGCGTCATGAAGAGGCGAACGATGCGGAAGACGCCATGGAGAGAATGGCAGACGATTCATCACACCTCCCCTCTGACACCATCATGGGCAGACATGAGAGGGCTGTGCGCAGGCAACAAGCGATGAGCGAGTCTGGCGAAGGCGGAGTGGGCATGAGCCTGAGCCCGTCTGAGCGGCGCAACATGTCGCTCTCTCAAGGTAGCGCTCGGCCTGATCGATCGCCAAGTCTTGCACCTCGCTTCGCGCTCAGAGACTTCAGTTTTAGCAGAGACAAGAGTCCACAAGCACAGCGTTCTGGAAGCATCCTCTCGCGGGACAGTCCTGCACGTCAAGCCAGCGTGTCCCGTGGAGGTGCCACTCTGACTGCGGGTCGCTCGACTGGCGGCCTTCCCGTGCGCAGGCCCACCTCTTCGCAGAGTGCAGCAGCAGC